GTCCCCAACAGTTCTCATCATGCCAAAGGACTGGCTCAAGGGCAATTTTTCACAACAAGAATTATATTTGCATTTTTTAAAATTATTGACTTACATAATGAATTTTCCAAACAGCTAGTAATAATTGTAAATTTACCATATTGTTTTAAATTCATGGATTATATTTTCAGTAAGTTTCTTAGTACAAACTTTTTGGTTTTTTCCAAGGCAATAAGGCAAATAAGATGGTAGAATATATATCATAGAGGTAACATTGCTGTCTGTCTTTACTGAAAACCATTGAATATGACAAATAATTTATATTACCTTCTAGCAAAAGTCAAAGTTTCACTTTTTTCAATGAAAAAAATGTATTTTTGAAAGTTTAAGCATTTTAAATGCAGGAAAATTTTGTCACAACAAACAAATGAGATTGATCATTTCTGATGAGAAAATTATCCATCTCATTTGTATTTATTTCATAATGAGATCCTTGTGATTTTTACTACTTTCAGTATTTGAGAACTATTGAATTCATGTTTATTATAATATTGGGTGATCCTAGAAATTTTTCATTTTAAAATATGCTGGTCCTTGTAATTTTATTTTATCACTTTCAATAATTTATCTCTGCTGCAATCATTCTCTATTTTAATTTGTGGGTTTATTTCTGTTTCTTTTAAAATATGGCTCTTTTAATTTATTTCATATGGTCATTTTAAAGTAAAATTTTCCTGATCTATATATTTTATTCTCTTGGCAGGACTTTGCTGCATAAACACAAGCATTCTCATTCCCACAAACACAAGCATGCCCATGTGCACAAGCACAAGCATGGCCACAAGCACGGACACAAGCATGGCCACAAGCATGGCCACAAACATGGCCACAAGCACGGCCACAAACACGGCCACAAACATGGCCACAAACACGGCCACAAACACGTCACAAGCACGGCCACAAGCATGGCCACAAACACGGCCACAAGCACGGCCACAAACACGGCCACAAACACGGCCACAAGCACGGCCACAAACACGGCCACAAGCACGGACACAAGCATGGCCATGGCCACAAACACAGCAAGAAGCCCAGCAGCAGCAGCAGGTAAATCTCAATTTATTAAAATGCTGTATTTTTTTTCAAAATTGCAATGTCATAATTTCTGTGCAATTTTCATTGGTATTCTTTTTTTTACAGCTCTGGTCGCTGATGATGAGGAGAATGAGCTGAAATATTCCAAATCACAGGAATGCATTTTCCAGCAGGGATGAACACCATTTTGTTTATGTCTAGTCAATTTTTAATTTTTTTTTCTGCCACTATACAATCTATAAAAAGCACTAAAAACTGCACACTTTGAACACACTGTAATTTCTATAAATTTGGAACTTGATCAGCTTTGAGTTTCACAGCATACAGACTCACAGCTAAAATTTATCTTTCTTAAAAATTGGCATAATCAGGTGTTCTTCATTGAGTCACCATCATCACTGCTATTCTTGTTGCACTGCTGTGATCAATCATTGATTGTATTATGAACTGGAGTTACCAAAGTGCTCAAGAAAATGTGTTTTTGATGCCTTTGTTTTTTTCCAACTGTTTGTGGTTGATGTTGATGCAATAAAATGTTGATGAGTTTCAAAATGAAAAACAAATGTATGACCAGTCTTTTTATATATACTGTATATACAGTATATATACAGTATATAGGTAAGTATAAACCTATTTAAAAAAATTCACTTAATATTAAATAAGGCCTGTGATTATCTTCTATATAAGGAGGAAATGGTTGACATTGAGTGTCATAGAAATTGTTACACCATGCACAAAATAATAAAAGCGTTTCCTGCTTTTAGGAAGATTCATCAGAGTGTGATTTTAATGATCCAAAAAAGGTGTTGCGCAGTTCCTGGTTTGCAACATGAATGATGAGGACGATTTCCAGATGGCGGGAAGTAAAAATTGCCCATGCGTGAAAGATAAATTTCCCCACAATAAAGGAAGAACACATTTAATAGAATGACAAATCCAAAAATTTGGAAATCCTTTCAGAATTTTGGAGGAGCTTTCAGCTTTTTGAAAATGGTTTATACATTTTGGAAATACTTTCAGAATTTCAGAAATACTTCAGGATTTTGGGGTTACAGCTTGCTTTAACTCTATGCCCATTAAGCCATATCAGAAAGGAATTTTTATTCTTCAATAAATTGTGAAACATTCAAAAAATGCAAAATTTATAGCACAAACCCAACATATGCAAAATAAAAATGAACTGAAAAAATTTAAGAATTAATAGGAATGTCAAAAATACTCATTGGTCAAGTTTGCACTTTGCATGATGTAATTATTTGGTGCAAAATTCTTGCATAGTTATGTATGCCAAAAATCAGGATGTAATTTCTTCATGCACAGATTTCTCCAGTGTATGACAGAAATTATTTTTGAAGTTTGGCTTAAGCAGAAAATGTTTGATCACCTGTGGGAAAATTTAATTTTAAAAATTTCACTCTCTCACTCAAAGTTGCTGATGGATTTTTTGTTCAAGCCTCAGTAATAACTAATAAGTCTACTAATATCTCAAAAGGCATAATTAGCAGAAAGCTTGTTGAAATGCTTCTATTATTCATGTTGAATATTCAGGTTTTATGGAATTTTGATGTCCAAATGTTGAACATGACATTTTAAAAATCTTCCTCTTTTTCTATTTCACAACCTTCAAAAAGTTGGGCTAATTTTTATCCACTAATTATTTTAATAATAGTTGCAATTTCTTTGATATTTAAAATTTTTGAAGTGCGGATTCCTTCTTTCAAGTCATCAATTCAAACTTGAAAGAAGTGAAAGTGACACATTTCAAGTGAAATAAAATATTTTCGAGCAATTTCCACAAACATTTAAAAATGAATTATCCTGGGGACCAAAGAAGATCTATTTTTGTTGTTCATTGTTTTCTGGGAATTTTCCATAAACAGTATTCAGATATTTTCAACTTGCGAAAACGCGTGTGGAAGCGTAATCTTCGAAGTGTGGTAGAACGCTTGTCCGAAGGTTTTGAATGAGCTTACTAGATGTCGCTAGAAGCAACGGCAATAATTCATGTTTGAGTGTCCTCGAGGAAACGTGGACAGAAATCGACTGATTTTCATCCACAGGTATAGACAGTGTTGATTATACATTCTTGATCCAAACTATATCTCATTTGAGTGTCTTAATATACCTTGTTCCTTCCCAGCCAAATTTTGTGCACAAATATTATTTGAATTCAGTTCAACTGACAGGTTTTGTGTTTGACAATAAGATGATCAGTTTTCTTTTAAAAAAATCACATCCCAGTAAGGAATTTCCTTTTGATGTTCCTTGATGTGACAGGTTGAGAAGGACAATTTGATGATGATAATGACACCTCATTGTGATATTGTTACTGAACTTTCATCTGCTATTTGTTATTTTTCTCACAATAGAAAAACTCCTTCTTAATGACTTCAGAAAGTCTGAGGACGCGCAGTAGTGGGACAAGCGGCAAAGCCTCATATGCATAATATGATGTGATATTATGATTGTGCTTGGCAATGGAATCCATCAGCAAGCAAACAAAAATCATAGAAAATGCTTCTATGAACAGTGTGCCCCAAACCTGGGGTCCCTGGTCTGCAGAATGTCTTTCTAGTCCACAGGAAATTTTCTTCAGCATAAGAAATTTCCCAAAAGTAGTAATGAAGTCTTGCATTTTTGTCAGGAATTTTTATTGGAAGACTATGGCAGTTGAAATTATCCAATGAAAAATGAAAAGTTGTATCCTCTCCAAATGAACACTTCAGGCAAAATTAACTTGCTGAAATAAATCATTTAACTTTTAATTCTCAGAAGCTGGAAACCAGCACCACAGAAATCATTTTCAGGGTTGTTGTTACAGATCCTCAATTACTTTTCAAGTGGATTAGGAAAACGATCCAGTTTGATGAGTGTGATTATATGTTAGCTGGAAATACTTCGTTAATTCAAGTGTGCACTGAAAATAAAAAAGGCCTTACATAGCCCTGTTGGTCAGCAATGATCTGACAAAAGAACAAGCGTTTCTTCAATGATCGAATCTTTCTTCAATATTGAAAAAATTCCGATTTTTTCAGATATACACATGGATATTTTATACGACTCTGTCGCAAATATCAATACCAAATTTTCGGCATAATTCAGCTTTTCTGATAGATTACTCCTTCTACTTCGTGAAACAGAATGCAAGGGCAAGAAAAATGCTCTCAAAATGGCTAAAGATCAGCCAGAATTGTCTTGATGGAACACATGCTAATGCACAGTGAATATTCTCATCAAACTCTGCTGTGCTTCTCACTATTTTCACAAGCATTCCTATACAGTACTGTTCTTTGAATGATCACAAACCAGGAATCAAAATGTTTTGCTTGCTCACTGAATTATCACAAAAACATACCATACTGTGCTTTGCGGCCTCGGTTAACGGAGGTAATCCATTTCAGATGTTCGTGAAATACGGTGCTGGCAGCCATACTTCTGATTGAAGGACGTGAATTTCCTGCGAGGAGACAGTTTTTCGTAGTCTGTTATCCGGAGCAAGGTCCTTCGTCTGAAGAAAATTTGATCCACTGCTGTTTTCCGAGTTCCTATTACCTCAATGTGATGTACCTCATGACTTTTCATTTCGTAACGTCGTACAAGTAGTCCGATCAGCAATCATACATTGATCATAGTTGCATTGCTCAGAAGACCATCGAGGAGCAGGGATTCTCACGAACCTCATGATATAGCTAATTTCCTCGTCATGGACCAAATGTAAAGAGCGTGGAAAGACGTTAAAAGCCAATCGTTTACATGAATACAGATTTAAACTTCAAAGCGTCTGTTGTCACTTTTGACAATCCCATGTCGCAAAACTATCAATTTCTGACGAATAAATCGCAGGACAATCGACGGACTGTTTCGACTCCAGCGTAAATCAAAGGAATCCTTTTGCACTCCCACAGAAAACCGCACGAACAAAAGGATACTAAAGATTGATATTCATTTCACGTATATCCAATATCTCTCCTCATAACTTCGCGTAAACTCATCAAACCTCACGAGAAATCGGCAAGAAAGCTTGTATGAACAGAAGACCGACTCACATTCTCGAAACGCGCGGAACAAGGACTATCACTCGGCAAAAATAAAAGGATTTCAGAAAAATGGAATCTCATCAGTTCACAATCTCACGCAGACCGCACGAAAGAAACTTCCGAGACACCGTAGTTCTTGACCAACAGAAGATGCTGCGATCAGGTTCACGTAGTTGGCTTCTCACTTGTTATTATTGGCTTCGGCGCTTGTTAGCTTTCGGCGAAAGAGGAGAATGTGTGGTTCTGCGGAGAAAAATTCCATTCAAAAAGATTTCTAACTTTCCTCGATTACCACGGAGCTAAATTTAAAGCTACAGAACGATTCAGAGTATCAGTTCTCACCAGGATTATGGACCATGTAATGTTCCCAGCCAACGCTCTGCTGGATACCCATGCGTCTCCATTCGGATTCCGTCATCAGACCAAGCGACTTCAACTTCTTTCCCAGATGTGAAGGGCAGATCACGTGCCTATAAGACAGACCATTAAGATTTTAACTTCCTTCTTCCTTAGGTGGAAATTCGATTGTAATTATACCTGTATTCGTAATTGTCATCCGTGTACTTATCCGAGTAGTAAATATCATTGATGCTAACTCGAGGAAGATTTCTCTCTCGGATATCTGTCACTGAAACGATGGAGTAAAACGATCCACACTTATCGAGATTGATACAAGAACCGACATTGTAAGACTCACCAAGACTCGTCTTGGACGTATTTTTCACGATTTCCGTCGGCATTTTGCGGGACTTATGGCAAGACACGCCCGACCCGATCTTGAAGGCTGGATGAAAACCTTCGAGCGCAACCCAAACTTGATTTACCTGACTCACTCAGCGTACAAAAGCACTGGAATCAATCGTCCCGTCCGTCGAATAGACCGAGTTCACCTCTGCAAATCATCATACACAATGGCTTTCAGAAAGTACTCGTACACCCACAAACCGATCGGTGAAAATATCCCGAAAAGCGTACACAGCGTCTCCGCACATGAATTCATCATGTGACACGCGAATCTCTCACAGTACATAACGAAATTGACGACAAAACACAATGTAGCAGTCCCGAAAGCAGAACTCCTTGCGATTTCCCCATACACTGAACTTTCGAAGGGCGCGCACCGGAAGCGACTGTTTGAGTTTTCGTCTGTATGCCACTACTATACATGCTTATAACGCCATCGTGGTAATAACTGATGAAACTTCCACATGAGCTTTTCCGAATGGCTTCCTTTGCAAGCGTTTCTTCGGCATGCATTCGATTCATGTGCTTGCGAAGTACGCAGCTATTGCTTATTCTAATGTTTCACCTCTGACATGATGTTCCACTACATAGTAAAAGCAAGATTAAAAGTTATAATGTCTCTATACTGTACATCGAACGATCACTTCATTTAGTGGTACTTCATGTGCAGATACCACTATGTGTTCGTTGAACGTGTAGATGTCGCTGAATGCGCTCCTTCCCATGAATAGCCGCCGGAGACCGGTACCTAAGTATGTTAAATATGCCCCTTCTATTTCGTGTTGCCTGGCGGTAATTCGAATCGCCCTTGTATCCCCTGGAAAATGCGAACAGGTGAAAACATGCTTATTCTCACAATATTTTCCCCTCGTGGCCTTGTTTCGCTTTCATTAATCTGAGGATGAATTTTTCCCTCTAGAAATCATTCCGTGGATTGTGCTGGGAGAATGGTGGGCACGGGAAAAAGGTGCGGTAGCTGTGAAGGAGGGGGCGACTGTCCCCGGAAGATCGTACGAGTAAGCAGCCTGTCATTCTCACGCATTAGTATAAATGATTTTAATCTGGCTATTTCTCTCATCAGTCAGGTGGAATACAGTTCGAGAAACCCGAAGAAACTGGATGCGATGGAGACTGTGCAACCAAGGAGCAAATGGTACGTGAAACATGCTGTATCCTCCGCTGTCGATCAAGCGTTATGCCGAATTCCGATTTCGTTGTATCTGGATTTTAAATTGATGCTCGAAGTCCCATCTTATTTTCTGTGTTTGTCGATTAAGTGCAGGAAATCCGTGAGCTGATGACAGAACTGAGCGATTATCGGCGATTCTGTGCCTACCAGACCCAGCGTTTGACCCGTTCAGTGTACTTCATAACCGAAATTTTGCAAGCAACTGCTCGGAAAGAGGCTAAGGAAGCCCGAGCTAAACATGCGCTTGATTGTCAACGTCTGGGTAACCCACTGTTGGACAAAAATGTCTCGGATTGTCCCGCGTTGTGCGATTTGAAGGAGAAACACGTGCGTTTGACAGCTACCATGATGAGTCTGGAGGAGCGAAACAAGCGTTTGCTGGCATTTTGCAATAATTCGCGGGACGAGGGAAATGAGAGTTCGTTTGACGATTCGGAACGAGACTCAGCGGAGAATCTTGAGAAAACTAGGGTAAATTTTTGTTTTCTCTTTCGAATGTGTTCTGATTTTTGTATTTGCGTGTGAGTTTTAAATTTTTCGTTTGTGTCGTTCTGTTTGTGTACATTGTTCAACTGAATTCATGAAATTCGCTGTATCAAGTGTACTCAAGTGGAAGGACCTACATTATTTGGTGCGAAAAACGCGAGGCCAGGTTTAATTTCTACTTGAGAAGTTGAACATAAGCGTTTCCACGAAGGGAAAAATGATTTTGATCGCTTGTATTATGATGCTGGGATTTTCTCGAGTTTCTTCAATGCGTTTTAACAAACCTTACCTTTTTTCAAAATGTCAGGTGTTCGGGGACTGGAAGAACCAACATTTTCACGTTCATCTTGATCTTTTATATTGCTTCCCTTACTTCCGAGAAAAATATTAAGAATAATGCTAAAAATTAATTTTGTTGTCCGGAAAAGTTTGCAACGTGTACATATTCTCCGTGTGGAGTAATTTTTTTCTACGCGGAACACTTTTTTGTTCAAAGGTGATATTATTTTGCGAAATCTTGATGGATTTTCAGCTGCAAATGGCGAAATGCGAGCGAGAAGCGGAAGCCCTGTGTCAGGCGATGCGAAAGGTGGAACAAGAGCGTTACTTGCACTACCGGGAATCCCGGAGGATCAGTTTTGAAGATAGGTCTAAATTCCGGAATAACCCAGTGTTTTGCGACCGTTTCCTCTTGCTTTCTCTGCTCGGGAAAGGAGGATACTCTGAAGTGTTCCAGGTGTGTTCTTTCTTCTTCGGTGCGTGACAAACCAATTTCGTGAGAGTTCAGTGCAGTGTGGTTTTTGTACGACTGACAATCGTTGACATCGCGTAGTGGATTCGGGCTGTCACTGATTTTTGCTCCAGATAGTGGACTGTGCTTTGGGAAAAGAGACTGTGTTAGATATGCCGAGGGAAGAAAAGATTCTAGAATTCTGAAATATTATTGACCTTGTTGATTTTTTTTAAGGAATCCGAAGGCATTTGAGATCAATTACATGTCTATAGTAGCTCCACATAACGTGGTTGAGAAACTTCACGGGGATCCAGAATAAATCCGATGCTCTACACTTTTTTTTTTCCTTGGTTTTTAGATTCAGCTTTGATAATGACTTGAAATTGACCGAGGACTGATTAATCGAGGCATCAACCCTGTAATTCTGATCCATTTTTGGCAGGCTTTTGACTTGAAGGAGCTGAAATATGTTGCATTCAAGATTCAAGAACTGGAAGCTGTTGAAGAAGCTCACAAGGAGGACCAGCAAAGGTGAATTGTTTTAAATTATGTATGTAGAAGCATTGCAGTTAAACCCCAATTTAGTGCTGTCATTTGTCCTGGCACATTTTGTGGCACTGAGTGAGGTTGGCATTTTAAATTGAGGGCATTGTATCAGATGACAATTTCTGTGAGGGCTTTTATTATAAGCAAAATGAGTGTGTTATCAGAAATATTAGGTCATTGAGTCTGTTTTAATGAAAGAGAAAGAGCCACAGAAGATAATGTGAAGTTCACATCTACAGTTTTTACTGCTTTTCAACTCATGTCCAAGGACAGACTATTTTAGAATTTTGCACTTACTGGGTCAAGTAAAACAGTGAAGCTGTCTATTGCAGTTTAGTAGCAGATCTAGTTGAGTGATTTTTACACCTTTCAAAGATATTTTTCTAGTTATTGAGATGCTCTTCGCTGTGGAGGACATCCATATAATGCCACTTAATGACAGGTGAATTCAGAAACCTGATTTTCTAAAGTATTCTGAGCAAGGGCATGAGGGTTCCCAGAAATAACCTAATGATCTTTCTGAAGATATGCCTCACTTTTTTCTGATTTTGGCCTAATTTTCATTCAGGACAAGAATTTTTTGGCACTAAATTAGGGGTTCCCTTGAGGACACAATGGAGGGAGATTTGTACAAGGGAATTTAAAGGCACTGAATTGGGGTTCAAGTACAGCATATTTGTGTTATTGTAGGAGAATCAAGCGTGAATGCAACATTCACAAAATACTGGACCATAGGCACATTGTGAAACAGTTTGACAATTTTTGGGTCAATGAAGACCTGTGCTGCACAGTGATGGAGTATTGCACCGGGCGAGACCTCGATTTCTACATAAAACAAAATGGCCGGATCCCTGAATCAGAAGCCAGGATGCTGGTCATGCAAATGGCATCTGCTCTGAAGTACCTGAATGAAATCAAACCATCAGTGATTCACTATGACTTGAAGCCAGGTGAGTGTGTCAAGTCTTCCATTTTTTGGGGTGAATAATTATTGATGTGCTGAAAATATTAATGTATATGCATGTGCTTTTAATTTTCAAAATATCAGGTCGAAGGAGTTTCATTATGAAATTGAACCTCAATAAATCAAACCTCCCTAGTCAAAAACTTTTTTCAAGTTTCCTTTTCTGAATTCCCCTGGGATTAATGCATTGAAAGACTCCCTGACTCAAAGGCTTTTCTCCTCAAACCTCAATAACTTGACTTTTTCAGAGGTCTTTTGCTCATCAGTTTTTTGGCACAGGAAAGAGAAAAGCAAAAATTTATATAACCATGTGTTTCAAAAGACTCGCATGTGTTCTGTCAAGTTGTTTTTATGAGTTCCTTTGCCAAAAAGATGAAAAAGACTGAAGTTAATAATTTTTGTGGCCTGTTTCCAGCGAATGTCCTTCTGAATGGCGACGGAATTTTGGACAATGTGAAAATCGCAGATTTTGGCGTGAGCAAAATCGTGGATGAACAAAACTATGATCCCATCCGAGGAATGGATCTCACTTCTCAAGGAGCCGGAACTTACTGGTACTCTATTTAATTTTCTTTCCTTTTCTTGGTACCTAAAAAATCTGCCTGATGCGATGAAAATTAATGATTCCTCTTGAATTTGTTCTGGATTTCTGTTGCGACTCTACGAAGTCTACGTATCACGTCGTGAAATATCAGAAATGATTTCTACAAATGCATGTATTTACTTCGTTTTCAAGTTTTAATTCTGACAAAGGGACGGAAATTTAATCGGAATTAGTTCGCGATTATGACATAATTCTCTTGAATTATTATATTTTTATTGGTGTGTTGCTCAAATAATGTTTTATGATCAAGTGAGTGTGTGTTCATTTTTTTTTTGCATTAAAAACAGGTACCTGCCACCGGAAACATTTGTTTCCGAGGACCCGAAAATATCTTCAAAAGTGGATGTGTGGAGTCTAGGCGTCATCTTTTACCAGTGTTTATACGGAAAGAAGGTTTGTTGAACTTGATACGAGTGGATTATCTGATTTCTCTCCACTATGAAAATTTGAGGGACCAGAAAACATACCTTCTGGAGAGAATTTAGTTGCAGAGAACCCCTACAGCATTTGGAGAGAACCCTTTGGGACCCGAAAAAAAATTCATTGTAGAGAGAGAGTCCACCTGTATACAGTAATTGCAGTTTTTGAAACTTGGTTGTTTTAATTTTATTCAAAAGCTATCTTGTTACAACAAATATCATTACAACTAAATTGTCAATACAGTGGTGCATTGCCTAATGACTGATCTGCCTAACAACCATGGGCAACCTGAAAAAAATGACTTGCCTAACAACCTCTGACCCACTTAAAGCAAATGTTTTCTGAAGGCGTTTGCTTGAACTACCGTAATAAATTTAGAAGAACCATTTTGCTGTTGTTTCTTCCCCTTAACAATAAAGGTTGTTTCTCAAGCATTTTTGTTGAGGGAAAGCAAGAAGAGTGGAAGGAAATGGTAATTGGTGATATGCGAAGCCTGAAATTGTGTTGTGTACTTCATGCAAGAGTGACATCTATGGTAAGTTATACAGGAGGATTGATTTCTGCTTTGGTCATAGATGTTGCATATGCATGAAGTTCTATTGCTTTTAATTTTTTTTGGTTATCTTTGAAAGAGAGCCAGGCAATTTGATGAGGAAAGGCGTTTGAAGAAACTATAGCCATGTTTTCAGGGATATTTGCTTTGTTATTTGAAAATTAAGGCACATTTTTCTGCCAGATTTATTTTTCTCAGGAACCAATCGATGGGTTTTACATTAATCTGTTGGGGAAAATATGACCTGTCTTACAACTGTTTCACCTAACAGAAGAAAATTGTGGTCATTAGGTATGGCACCTCTGTATAACAAACCTTTTTCTCAAGTCTTGACCAAAAGCCTGTAGAGTGCAAGTTAAAACAATCCTTTTGTAACAAACTTGTTCCCAATTTCTGTGTACCAAACTTTTCTGAGGAATATTTAATAGGTTCTCCCAGTAGAAACTTCCTGCCTGAATTTGAAATATGGATGGAAGATGTAATCAATGACAAATGTGCTTCAAAGGGGTTCCTTATCTCCTCCTCCCAGAGTGAAGAGATTATTGATGAAATTGATGGAATGCATGATTTGAGCTAATTTTTTCTCATCAGAAGTTCACCCATGATTTCAAACAATGGTAAAAAATCTGAGAATGTCTGCAAAGCAAGATGTGCTTGAATATAAGCAGGTTTGATGTGAAAATGTTTGTCAGTATTTTGAAAATCTCTGTTTACAAATTTTTCAGTATGACAAACTTTTTTCTGATGTCCCCAAATGTTTGTTCTAAAGGACATTTTACTGCATATTTATTTGCAGCCTTTTGCTCAGGATCAGGATCAAACTACTATCATGAAGGAAAAGACTATTTTAAAGGCTGGTGCTGTGGAGTTTCCTGAGGATCCTGTGATTTCTGCTGCAGCCAAGGTGAACCTTGTCTTTTGAAAAACTTTGTTTTTCTCTGCATACTCCAATTTCATTGGGGATATTTTGATTTATTGAGATGTGTTCCTGTAATAAGCAGTGTCATGCAAGTCCTGAAAAATATTCCTGTTCTTCTCTGAAGATGGATACCCTTGAAAATCTTCAGGAAATGAAAGAAAACTGTTGCATTTTTCAAATTTTCATCAGTCCAAAATTCATGCAAAATATGAGATGTTATGGAAATCATTCCTTTTGTTCAAATGTAAAGACCTCATGAAACATTGCATTGAAATAATTGATTGGAAAGAGACGAAGTGTAAATTTGAATATTTTTATGCACATGTTTGAAGATTATTATAATTGTGTCCAAGCATATGTTGTCTTCTCTTCTCTCAACCATCAGGGATTCCTGAAAGCGTGTCTGCAACCCAACCCGGAAAATCGTCTGGACGTGTTTCAAATGGCAAATCATCCCTATTTGCAACAAACATTGAATACAACAATATTGCAAAATCTGGAGAGCAATGACTGTGTTGTATAAATGACCTGTGATGAAGTGCAGTTGTGTTTTTTTTCTTTCTTGCGAAAAGCTTGATTCAATGCAGCTAATTCATTTTTGCAAAGACTTTGTTGTGCAAATTTCTCTGAGAACTTGTGAAAAAGAAGACAACTTAGAATTTTTCCAAGTAAAGTAAAAGTAAAAAGTACTGTAAACTTTCAGGAAAAGTTTAAAGTAAAAATACAATCTTCAAGAAGCTGGGCATCATTAAGTTGGACCAGGTTCATAATAAAAGTTGTTCCTCAGGAAGTCTTGCATTATCTAGCAAGCCTTCTTAAAATATACAGTAAAATCTTGTTACAACCAACTCCTGGAGACCTGAGAAAAAACTTGTTATGTTGAGATTGATGATTTTGAACTTATTTCAGACTAGAATTTTGTTGGAAATGGGGAATACATAATTCAAAATGCTTCTGAAACAAATACTTCAAGACCTAGCTTAATTAATGAGTACTTTTGATGAAATGAAAGGAAATCCTTTGATGTAAATATAGTTCTCCTTTAAATTAACCAGCATTAGTTCTGAAGTATTGCTTGTCTTGAAAAAATAAAATGAAACAAAATTGCATATGATAAAAACACTGCACTTCATTCTCAAACAACTAATGCATTGATAGCTCTTTCAAAAATAGAGGAACATTCTTCTAAAATACTGTTCACTTGAAAAAGGCGTACATTCTAAAATAGATAAGTTAAAGAATTTCCAAAAGTATGTCCTGTTGTGCATATTTGTGGACACCAAGTTTTCAATACTCAAAGATGTCTTTTTTTTAAATTATTAATGTTATGATGAGGTTTGTTGTAACATAATTCTACTGTATCTGTTGTTTGCATAGATTGTGTACTTGTAGAAAAATATGTTCTTGGTGTTATATTTTTGATACAGTACAATGCAAGCTTGGGCACAGATATTTTCAAATAGAGATACTTTGATGCTGCAAACATTGCTCTCATGAAATAAGCACTTTTTGGCCATTAGCTAAAGAATACCTGATGCAGTACAGTACTTTGAATTATTCAAAGTACAGTTGTTGATTTAGCCAGGAATTCCAATGAATTTTTCTAGCCATGCAATTCTTGACCATAGCAGTCCAATTTTTCAAGTTCTGCTGCATCAATCCTCAGTTGAGACAAGTCATTTTTCCTCAAATTTTCAAAGTGTTATTGGTCTCAATTTTTCCATGTCTCAAATTGCACCTCTCTCCAAAAATTCATGGCTCAAATTATTTTTGTTTAAAATTTTCCCTGTCTCATTTTGGCCTTGTCTCAAATAGTCTGTCTCAATTTCTCCTAGATCCAAGACAATAACAATCCAAAGGAATTATAAAATTTTAGATATGGAGGCTTTAGAAAAGCCTTCAAGTTGGAGAGGTTTTAAATGCATTATTGTTTTAAGGGACTTGGAAAAAATTTCACTTGGAGAAGTATTTCAACTAAGAAAGGTTTGAGTTATCAAGGTTCAACTGTAAAATACACTCATTATTCTTGACCTCTGTTATTTATGAAAAGTATTTATTTGAATCCCATTTAAAACATAAAGCACACAGAGAACATGCATCAATATTACTGTACACAGCAACTCCTGGACAAGAAGTGCAACAAAAAAAAAGCACAAGTGGACCAATGTGTGAGCAGCAACATAATCTCACATCACACAAAAAATATCAGCCATTTGTAGTCGGAATAATGACCACAACACCCCTCACTTTCTGCATGACCCTTTTAAGCTAATGTATTTCTGCAACGCTTGGCTGCGCCTAGTGCGCAAGCAATTATATTTCACAATTCTGTTGTTGACAGAATACTTTCCCAACCTCACTCACGCTTCCTTCCTTTTGAATAAACAAAGTGTGATGTCCCCGATCCAAATTGGTTTCTATGCGCGTTCTTCAACCTCAGCCGGCCAAAGCTATATATACATGTGCATTTTATGTTTCATTAAGTTTACTGCACCAGACTCTGTCCGAATGCCAAATGTATGCTGCTTTGCTCTGTAGCATTGCACTCTATTGACTGTGTGTAAGGATATAATAAAATATTACTTAAAATACTCTCACAGAGTAACTTTTGTGTTTTCAAAAGTTGTGAAAAATGATTTAAATCTCTGATTTCATTCTTTAAATTATAAGAAGCATTGTTCAACAACTGATCATCATTGAACGTACTCTTTGGAATTATAGTTTTTGGATAACACATTAAAAAAAGAAGGTTCAAGAAAAAAAAACTTATTAACAAATCTTCATTCCTTCTAAGCCAAAGGGACACACTTTGTTCCCAGCTCTGAAGCAGCAACAATCCATTATGTGTCCTTGTGTCATCCTACAGTATTCATAGGAAATGGTCCAACAGAGTCCACATGCCTTTGTATAAGAAACGAATTGCGGCAGTTGAAAACAACTCAGTCGCATCGAAATTAATTGAATCATCAACTGCTATTTTTTTGTTAGAAAAAAATATAATGAAAGAAAGACAAGCACAATTAATGAAAAGGCAGGAATAAATGTTATTGAAGAAACTTGAAATTGAAGAAAGCCACTATTGCAGGTGAATACAGTTAGACCCTCTGATGCTGACATAATTGGTGGATCAAGAATGTCCCAAATTCAAGTCTCATTTTCCCATAGATTCACCTTATGTAATTTACAATTTGTGTTTTATATCAGAAATAATATTCTTCAGAAATACATGAAGAAAATTTGTTTGCCTCTTGAATTTGATTCCGTGAATAAATATATTTTCAACTCAATAAGAACATTTGGAGCATTGAATACTGAGCTTCTGTACAGTACCTTTGCATTGTTTGCATCTGTAAAAAGAATATTCAAGTCACAACAAGAGAAGGAAGTCACTCTCTATATATGCTATATGTACATTTCTTAAAAAGCTGATTGGCTGAGAAAATGATGGGAGGAATACCTAAGCATTTTTCTTGCATAGGTCTTTGAGTTGGAAATATATGTTTCTTTCAATTAAGCCCAATGAAAGTCAATTTTCCTAAAATTCATTGCCAATTTTATCACGCCATGTCCATACATTGAATCAGTGTCCATATGTCAGGCCTTTTTTTCATCAAAAAATAAATCTCCCAATGTTGAATTATCTGCATATTGAGGTGTCCCACATGTGGGGGGTCTAACTGTACATTATTTGTTTGATTTTCAAATTAACTCAACTCATATGGTATTTGAAAATTGCTCATCATTTCTGACTCCAATCCCAGGAGGGTTGTGCAGAAATTCAACATGAACAACTCATACATGCATCCAAATAAAACAGCAGGTGCTCTATGATCTATATGTCATTGAAATGTCCACATGTTGGATTGGTTTTATGCTTAGACTAATTGAAATGGGAATACTGTATATTCAATTGGTTCTTCTGTGGATAACAAGTTGGAAAAATGCACCCAGAAATGAAATAAAAGAATTTTTTCAATATCCAGAAAATAAGTGCAAAGAAAACTACACAACCTTAAGTCTTTTCCCTTAAAAATAAGTACAAACAAGTAATAAATAACAAGCACAACTTTTCCTATGCTGTGGACTAAGGAAATCTAAAGTTTAATCACAAAATTAGCCTGCTTTTCAAAACAATCATAAACTGTAGTTTAAAATTATATGTTTAGTTGTTCTGAACATTAAGCATAGATTTGTTTGAGAGGAATCAAAATTTAGAAAAATGAATTTTTCCATTTGTCTGTTTTTAGAAATGTTGGTCAAGTGTCCGGATCTTGAGACATTGTCTGATTGATGTTGGAGCAGAGTTTTCAAGTTTCCAAAAGTCTAATTGTCATTGTGTCCGCATGTCGGGGCCCGTCCGTATTTTTGCATTCGAATTGACACTAGAACAAGAATTTCTGGATTAATGCACTTTGAAATTCAACTGATGAATATTCTTGTACTATTCTCAGTAAATTCTGAAGCTTTAGCATTTTCATTCGTCCTTAATTTGGCAGAAAAACGCGCAACAGAAAAAAAAGTATCAGTCCTCAACTTTGTTGAGTTTCTCATCGAACTTGTGTCCAATAAATTTTTCAAAATCATTTCCCAAGTATTTCATTGCTCACAATAACGAGATTCAAGTTCCAAAAAAAAAAAGCACTGGATGTAAATGTTTGCTTATTGTGGAATTTTCTCTTGAAAAAAAAGAGAACAAAAACCTTAACTGAATCATTTGCTCCTTTTTTTGCTTCCAAACAAGGCGAATTTGTTTCCAGTTCAATGAAACCACGGATTTCCCTTTGTTGTGACTTTTCCTTTGTCCTTGCCGCACTTTTTTTTTTTTGCATTCTTTGTGACATTTTTCTACCAGAGGCGAATAGAAAAAAGTTTATATGTCTTTTCGCCAATTAACTCATGGGCGCATGAGAAAAGAAAAACATGTGCAGAAAGTTTTTGCATCATCTTGGCATTCATTCAAATAATGCATTATTCTCTGACAGATGATGAAAAACTTGATTCAACTTTTGCCTCTTTTTGCAAATGCTGTGAGAATTGTTATCCCCTTATTGGGAATAACTGAGAATGTTACCTTATCTCAGACTATATCAATCGTGGATAGATTCGAGCAAGTCTGCTTTAGAGGAATAGATAAAGAAGTATGTAAGCAAGTACTTTCAAGTACAGAAATAGTCTTTATTATTACTGCGTATAGGAAAAACTGCTTGCAGAGCTGGTCTGTTTGGCGAAAATTCCTTACACGGGAGGTCTGTTAGGCGGGGGCCACTGTATACTCATCCTGAATGACTCATAAACCTGTCTCCATCACATGATGAATAATGCAGACAAAAACAACAACATATTCCAAGAGAACCCATCAGAAGCATAACCTAACCACCTGAGTGCTCATGGGAACTGACATCTTCATGTAGATTATATTTTTTTGACAAGTGTTATTGTAGTGCTCTAATTGGGCACTTGAACAGTTACAGCACCTTTTTGAAAATACATATTACCACTGGTATGGATGGTGTCTTGCCAATATTACTCTAATCTGTTGCTGG